AGTTTCAAATAGCTATGCTACAGTGAGTATCCAACCATTCCAAGTTTTCATGATGAAAATTGATGTCTGGGTGTGCCAGGCATGCCTGTGTAAAGACAATATTACACAGTGGCTGCATTGGTCAGCATGCTGGCCTGGGGACTCGGGAGAAACAGATTCTGGTTCCCACTTGGTCATGAAGCTCACTGGGTAACTTTGAGCCTAATCTACCTCACAGGGTTGTTGTGAAATAAAATGGAAAGGAGGCAGAGATTATATAAGCCACTGGCAAAAAGTTTTTAAAAGCGGTGTATGTAAAGATGTAAGTGGTGTAATAAAAAGATGAGCAAGAAAATCAAACTGAGAGGAAAAAACCATACCACCAGCTGAAAATAATTTAAGATGTATAGGCAAATAGAATGGGTTTAAAGTGTTGCCCAAAGAATAAAGCAGGGCTGGGTGACCTGTGGCCTTCCAGAAGTTTGTTCTGCAATGCTCATTTCCCCTCACCAGGTGGCCATTGAGATGGGCATTGTAGTCAAACGACTGGAGAGGCACAAGTGCCCCAGAACGGTGCTGTTTTAGGGAGGAAGCATTTAAACTTGTATTAATTGGATTTGGGTAAAGTGACTTCCAAGGAAAACATGCATAGGATCAAGCTATCTGATACCTGCCAGAATTGCTCACAGTTCAATCCAGCACACATCCATCCCTCATTTAACCTACGCACAGGATTGCTCCCTGTCAATTATTTCTGCATTTAGCAATCAGACAGAAACCACTCTTTATATCATCGTTAGTTGGTTCCTTCCAGATGTGGCACTGCAACTCCAAGCATTCCACAGCAGCTGTACTTCGACACAACTGGAGGAAAGCACCAGAGTGCAAAAGGGTGCTTAAATTGATAGTGTTATTGTTTGGCTGCTATTCTATTCTCTCCTACTAGACAGTAAACCCCGTTGGCTCCAATTAGATTTTCTTGTGAGTAAATGTGTACTTTGAATTACGCTGTTTTCACGAGAAAGGAAAATGGTGAGGGTGGGGTTGCATATTTTAATGAAAGGATTCCCAGGTTTTGATGTCCTGTGCTTGATATTATAAATTTTTCTTCTGTGTTTGTGCAACATTTTTTTGACAAAGCAAAATATTTAACTGAAGTCTGATCTGATTTCCAGCATTCTTAAAAAAAACAAAACACACATTGTATGAGGTGAGAAGGGAAGAGAAGAGCCACTTAATCTCTGTTCAGAGCAGACTTCTTCAACCTGGGGCTCCTGCCCCACAGGTCTTTGGGACTGCATATCCCATCAGTCCTAAGCATAGTGTGCCCAAGGGTCGAGGGTGATAGGGGTTGTAGTTCAAAGCATTTAGAGGGCTGCCAAACGAGCTCAGAAAAGATACAACCCCCCTCATATACAAACCATGCACCTGTGTTATCCACTGGCTACTTTTATCAGAGAGAAAAATCCACCTTTTGCTCATCTCAGTTGCCACACACACACACACACACACACACACAAACACAGCCCTTGCTTTCTTGTTCCAACCATCAGTGCTTAACCCCAAAGGGCCCTGCTCTGGAATCAGCCAGGAATGGTCCAGGACATTTTGGAGCCTGGGGCAAGGATCAGGAGGGGACCCCCTTCCAGTCCCTGCACCAAAGCCAACTGGAATGCACAGGAGTGATGCCAGGTAGCAAAGAGTCTGGGCCAGTCCCACAGTAGACAAAAAATGTGCTAATGTGCACATACACTAAAGTCTGTGTGCGCACGCATGGGTGTGCGCATGCCTTTGAAGGATCCTGTCTCCCAAGGACACTGCTATTTGTCGGAAGGGTTGTATGGACAGTGGGGAAGAGGGCATGTGACTTCGGGAGGAAGCCTCAGAAGGAAAGATTCCAGTGGGCAGATGTGGGCAAAGGAAGGGGATCCCACCCAGTGCTTCCGCACCCCTGCACCTTTCCTCCAGAAAGTACCCCTGGACAGCTGGGTGGCTCCCAGAAATCTGAGTCTCTGAAGGACAGATTAGAAGTTCCAGCCTGGGTGGGCCACCTCCTGACACCACCTTTGCAGAACCGAGCTGTGCAAAATTCAACCCGGACAGTGCCCACCTCACACCTGAAGGCCCCAGGCTAGCTCAGGCACGTGGGGCAGGCCGTGTGCTCCATGGCACCCCCTTCTGACACTTTGCTGCCACCGCCTCACCTCTGGTGCATGGAGCACCTGCCTCACTCCACCGAATGGTGAAGCCGGCCCTGATTCAGTCCTGATGCAGCATTTTGATTCACACAGTGGAGGGTCGGATCACCTGGCCCCAGGCAACCCCAGAGCAGGCCATGAAGGTGTCTGCATTCTTATACTCTTGGAAGAAAGACAGCTCCTGATAATGGGCGCTCCAATTTGCTGTCAGGGAGAGCAAACCTTTTCTCCATCTAATATCTAAATGCAACCTTCCCCAAAAGCTAGCACCTTCCAGGTGCTTTGGACTACAATTCCCAACATGCCCTAGGCAGCCATGCTGGCTGGGGCATGCTGGGAATTCTAGCCCAACACATTCGTTGGGCACAGGTTAGGGAAAGACTCAAAACCATCTAAGGTTGCAGTCATCCTTATACTTCATGGGTGGGGGGTGGGGGGCTCCTGCTGCTGACACAAAGGGAGACATGCTCCTCCAAGGATCCCAGCCTCCTTTTCTCCATTTTCCACATTGCTGCCATTGATCAGAAAGAAATGTATGTACTTTCTTGGCTTTTATCTTTGTATTCATATAGTTTCTGAAAAGCCAAGTTGTGCTTTCTGCAGGGGGAGGGAGAAGGTGTACTCAGTGGGCCCTTATTCATATATATTACTAGGCTTCGGTTTGAAGTTGCTGCTGCTTTCAATGAAGGCCTTGCTTACACTCGCCTAATTCCCAGACCTTCTCTGCCTCTTCTTATAGCTCTCCTTCCCTTTCTTTTAGGACAAGAAAATAAAAAGTTTGATCCTTGATTGGTATCAGAATGTGACCAATTCCATCCATTTCCATGGAAATTCTGTCTTCAACTTTCTCTGTTTCCTATCCTTGTTTCCTTCTCCTTTCTTTCCCAGCTTTTTCTTTTCTTTTTTCTTTCCAGCAGTTTCTCTTCCCTTCCCTTTCCTGCTTCTCTGGCCTTAACTTTCTTTACTCTTTCTTGTTTCTATTACTCCCTCCTGTCCCCTCTCATCATAACACTTATTTTCTCCTGTTCCACCATCTGAAGCTGAATCATGTCCGAGGATAAACTTGCCTGAAATGACCTCAAAGCAAATACATGTGGAAACCACAAAGTCTTCTGTTTCCCAGAGACTGACTCCAAAGGGGAGGGGGGGAGAGGAGGGTGAATGGGGGAAAAGGGTCTCCAGAAAAACAAAGAAAAAAACCACTTATTTTCATATACAGTTCATTTTTCGAATTCTCTCTATCGAGGGCTGCTGGACTTCTAATTTCTTTTAAATATGTTTAGAAAGTGTAGAAATTAACAAAAATAATTGATCAATTTCTGCATGACCAATTTTATTACTTAACCTCGGATGAGATCACATTATCTGTATCCCGCTCTTCTTCGTTTCTTCCAGGCAAGAGACAATCTTGTAACTAATTTTAATTGATTTATCTTTTCAAAACAAAGTGCATTGCATTGAACTGGTCTTGCAAAGGGTCTTTTGTTCTCTTTACAAACCGAAATGTCTTCATATAAATTAATAAAAGGTGAGTAAGATGCTAATACAATGTTATTATTAGCTTTTTTAAAAAGAAAGGAAAAAGAAATTTACATATTCGTTATTATACACAAAAACAAAATCCCAACACTGCACATTTTCAAATTCAATGACAGTCAGCAACTAAACGAACTGGGGATTTTTGAGCAGAAATAAATCAGAGCAACTCACCATAGCAAATTTAACACAACAATTTTTCTGGAAAGGGTAAGGTCAACCATTCTTCTTCTAATTATTATTAATTCTTCTCCTTCAGGCTTTACCCCTCCTTCAACAAACACACATTCATACACACACCTAAAATAAAATAGACTAATAATTACATCATCTCACTGATGTAAAAAAAAAACCCAAAACCATACATTTTTATGCTTGGCTCATAGCAAAACTAAAAACAAAAAATGTTAGCTTCATTTTCTAGAGTTCTGTTAAAACTGAAAAGGAACAAAAAGGAACCTTTGGACTAGAATCTGTCATTCACTTAGTCGATTTCAGAGGAACTTGCTTCCAAGTAAGAGATACTGCAGACCAGGACCATATGAAATTGATCCAATTGTGCAAATGACCATGTAACACAGAACTCTGCCTGAGGAAGGTTCCTGTGTAGCCCAAACCTTACCTGCTCTTGCACCGACAGAAAGGACTTGCTGAAAGAGACAGTGGATATTTGAACTCATGTTTTTTGTGATTTTCTTTCCACTTTCCGGTATCAAATACGGGCACCAGTAACCAGCGAAAGGGGTTTTTTTTGGGGGGGGGGGCAGGACGGGACACCAGAAAAAAAATCAATCCCCGCGTTCACACGCCACAAATATCCCACTACTGAACCCAAACGAGAAGAATTTCGGGAGCGAGCTTTCCAAAGCCGCACACGCGCGCCCGCCCGCCCGCACAAGCAAGGGCCAAAGTACTGTACATGTTAAATACTCGCAGTCACGGAAGCCGCTCGGGGCTCGCTCTATTTACACGGAGGCGCCAGCGGGGTTACTTCGGAGTCTGGCCAGCCGGGAGCAGGACTGGGGGCGGCGGCGGCGGCGGCGGCGGCGGGGGGCGCGCTCCCTCGAGAGGCCCCGATCCCCTGCCTGCCACCTGCGGGGAGGAGCGCGGGCGGGCAGCCCCCCGCCGAGCGCCTCCCAGCGGCGGCGGCGAGCGGGCGGGCGGCGGCGCGCCCCCTCCGGCGCGGTAGAAAAATAGCTCTGTGCGTCGGTCCGCGGAGCGCCGCCCGGGGCTGGGGCTCGGGCGCGGGCGCGGGCGCGGGCTGGGCCGCAGGGCCGGCGCGCCCGCCTAGGAGGAGGCCTCGTTCTCCGACGCGTGCAGCAGGAGGCTGGCGCTGGCGCCGGCGCCGCCCGGCTTGTGCTTCTTGAGCAGCTGCGTGATCTTCTCGTCGTCCGAGTTGGGGTCCAGCGGCTTGTTGTAGTCGTCGTCCTCGTCCTCGTTCTCCGAGGCGCCCTTCAGCCGCTCCGTCTCCGAGTCCTGCTTCTTCTTGGCCGTCGCCATCTCGGCCGCGTGCTTCTTCCGCCACTTGGTCCGCCGGTTCTGGAACCAGACCTGCGGGGAAGAGACGGGGCGGGGGCGCAGTGGGGCGGCGTGAGGCCCGTCGCAGGCAGGCCGCCGCCTGTCGCCAGGCGCCGGCTGGCCCTGAGCCCCGCACGGAGCGACCCGGAGCCGCGGATCCGGATGGATCGGCCGCCTGTCCCTTGCAAGGGCTCCCCTCGCAGCCGAGCCAAAGGGAACACGTGCGTTGCAGCACACCTCCGGGCTCTTAAGCGCAACTTGGCGGAAAGGAGCGAAGCAGGTCGCCGAAGAAGCCCGCCCCTGCACGTTGCCTGACACGTTGACCCGCAGCACTTCTCAAGCTGCTAGTCAACCCGAAGGTTCAAGCAGCAGCGGGGAGCTTCAAAAAGCAGGGCACAAACGATCCGGTTTGCAAGCCTTTTCAAGACAAATTTGTAAACTGTTTTCACTTACTTGTCCATAAGAAAAAATAAGGTGGCAAAGGGTTCTGTGCCCAGGAGTTACTCCAGCAGATTTAGGCTGCAATCCCCACCCCACCCCACATACTGGCTCAGTGGGTCTTGCATCTGAGCAGGTTGTTTGGAGCTGGGTTCAAAGTCCCCAGAGCCGTGGCCTGACTCAGAGCTAACAACCCCGTGTAAGATTAAGGGTGCATTGATCTAAAAGTTAGCCTCCCCTCCATCCAAAGCCACACAACACTTAATTTTAGAATCACAAACAGGAAAGCTATAGCTATACCCTCCAAAAACTGAGCAACCTCGGCCCTTCTTAGCTACACCTTCAGCACAGGGCCTAGGGCGGTCTTTCCCAACCAGGTGTCCCCCAGAGAGTTTGCACTACAGTTCCCATCACCCCCAGCCAGCATGGTTCATTAATAATGGGTAGATCGTGGGAACCGCACTGCAAGCCCTTTGGAGGGTGACAGGGTGGGGCAGCAGTTGAATCAAATATTACCTCCAGACCAGAATCATTTTAGCCCACTGACTACCTGCTCAAGATCAGAGCTCTGAATCCCCCCAGGCTAAGAAGAACCACTAGTCCTTGGGCACCAGGGTTGTGGGGCCCACATATGTCCTGTTACCCATATGGTGCTCTCATGCACAGGACAATTCCCATTGTATCAATGAGCATCTGTGGAAAATATGCACCACTCCTGTCCTGATTCAAGGGTCTTGAGCATTTATCTGTGAAGCCACATGGTATGTTCTCCTCTGCTTTTGTACTTAATAGATGCTTATATTAGAATCCCATTTCATCCATAAGGATGCACTGGAAATGTCTCCTTGCTGACTTGTTGCCAGCCAGTCTACCAGCATTTGACCAAGTGGAAAAGGATTGGAAATGGAGATATGTGGGAAACAGTCCCGCCAGGTGTGGTCTCTAATACCTCCAGGTAGGGCAGGAAGAACTGCTGCCTGAAACCCCAGAGACCTGCTGTCCATCCACACTGAGTCAGATGTTTATATGCTACCTCTTAATTTTGACAGGGTTTCTTTTTCCAACTTACCTTGATTTTTATTATCATTCTAACAACAGCACACAAAGATGAAGATACCAAGACCTTGCCAAGGACTTGTGCATAGCCACCCTGCCCACAGTATATTACTAATGGTTTGGGTGGTGAGGAGAGAGAAATGAAGCAAACGGTATAATCCAAGCCCCAAATTAAAGACCTTTGAGACTGCAGTTCTAGGCACATTTCCCTGGGAGTAAGTCCCGTTGATCAAAGTCAGATTTGCTTCTAAGTAAACATGACTAGGCTCAAATGACAAGTTGCACTGCTGTGAAAGACAGCCTCCTCAACCACTGAACTCGATGGGCACCAAGAAAGGGTGGGAGGTGGCTCAACTTTTGTCAGAGTATGTCCCATACATACCTTCTAAAGGAACTTTCCCTGCCTGGAAACAATACTCATTTGTGTAAACAAAGCTATCTGGTTTTAAAGGGTGACTGTTTAAAATTGAACACTCCTGATCCCAAATTACAAGTGTGTGGCTTCTTCTGTTAAGAATTCAGCATTTCTGGTGCCACGATTTTGAGTATAGGCTCACCATAGACGTCCCCTTTCCTATTCTCAGGCCAACCCCAGGTATACCACCCTACCTAGATTATTTTACATGGATTAGCTCCCCCTCAGCACACCAGAGTTACCTTGCTAAAATCATGAATGTGTGATCCCACATTTGCTATTACAAAACTGGAATGGAGAAGGGAAGGGTTAATAATAATTAATCGATTAATCCAGTTGAGCTGGATTAATAAATCTGAAGGAAGAGCAAAACTTCATGCAGAGGTATGCATGGCTCCAACATTACACACTTTCAAGCAGGTTTTAAAAACTTAGTTCAGAGGTATTCCTGTGCTGACGCTTTGAAATAACAGAGCTGTTCTTAAACTGTCTTAGCTTTATTATTTGGGGATCTATTGGAATTTATGTGGCAATTTTATAATGTTTGAATTAACTGGCTTAATCTGTTTTTCCAGCTATCTAGGTGTTCTTGTTTTCTGTGTATGTTATGCTTTTGATCATATAGATCTTCATTCTAAGGGCTATGCCATAAAAGCCTTCCTCTGTATGTGTGCATATGCGCATGTATTATATATATATGGTGTTGTGGATAATTATTATATGGCATATTGGAACCACCTATTTCTACTAATCTGGTTCTGATCTGCATCGCACTTAACATCAGTACTTGGATTTTAAGTCTATTTGGTTTATCATAAACATGCACATGCAAACACAGAGGACCAACAGCCAATCTAGTTAAACAGAGACATTTGGAAATAATCAGTTTTATACAATAATCAGATTCAATCCTAAATCCTGTTATGTGAAAATCAGATCCAGTGAAAGGGATAGAATTTACTCATAAGTAAAAACCTTGTGATGCAGCATGGAAATTCATGTTTTGTTTATTGAAATAAGGTGTAATTGTGAACAGTGGTGTCCTTGCATAGTTCTCAATAATTTCCATGAAGACTGTGCAGGAAAACTTCTAGGAGAATCACTCCCTGGGTGCAAAACAGTTAAAACTAGGGAAGGGCTGTAATCCAGTGGAAGACCTCCTTACTTTGCATATAGATGGTTCCAGGTTCAACGCTCTAACATCTCCAGGTAGCTCTGGGAAAGAGTCCTTTCTGAAACTCTGGAGATCTGCCGTCAGTCTATGTGGAAACTTAAGTTCCCAATCTAATATAATGCATTTTGAATGTTATTTTCATCAATATAGACATCTTTGTGTGCACTTCCCCCTAATATGAGCTTTTGTCTGCATTTTTGATTGGAAAGCTCCACTGCAACTTTTGGAGAAATGTAAATGCTAGAGGATAATGGATTTTAATCAATACATTGCTTTGAAAGAGCAAAATTAGGTAAGTCCACATTAAAATGCCAACCAAGCCTATTTTCCCCCCAGACTAAATTTCTTCCCTCCTAAACCAAAGTTAGCTTGTTTATTTGGATAACTATTTATGCTGGTGTTATACTAATTAAAAGTCAGCCCTTCTGCCCATGGCTACTTAAAATACAGGCAGAACCCTTGTGCTGTTGATAGGCTATTGTTCCACTGCTTTTCTGGCTTCTTACAGTAGACTCATTGAAATCAATAGGCCAAGTTAGTCCCAACTCAGGATGCATTGATTTCAAGGAGTCTTCAGGCAAAACTAAGTCTGTATGCAGCCCATTAATTAAGATGTCTTGCTTCGTTTCTATTTGCTTGCATTCTACTGTGTCACAAATACTGCAAATTAGTACGGATACAACGTAACCGAATCTTTGGATAGCAGGTATTCCTTAGAAGAAGCATCCTCACCCATCTCCACCACAACACATCCACACAGGTTGTGTATCACTGACGCACAAATGCAGCTAGTCCTTACGGAAATAAAGTGAGTGTGTGGCTAGCACCACTGGGCCAGCTATCCTGCGTCTCAGCTGCCCTCCGAAACAGACAAGGGAGAGTCTTCTGCCTCCAACCTGAACATTTGCATGGCTAGCCCCATAGATCTCAGATTGGAGCCCCATTTAAGTTGGGGGGGGGGGGCGCCTGGGCATGCATGTGGATGCCCATCTGAAGTTACTCATATGAAAAACCGAGAAATAAGTCCCACTGAAATCAAGGGAATATACTTCCAAGAAAATGAAGTTATCACTGTGCTTTCCATTTTGATTACTGCCTTGAGTGGAGCTGACAGGCCATCCATCATATAGACAATCATTGACATCCATAACAATTACTTTTATGCAGTCCGTAATCAACTGATTTGATGATTCGTATTTGTGCAGTGCAATCCTGACCATGTCTCCTCAGAATTAAGTCCCATTATGTCCAATGGGTCTTACTCCCAGGTAACGGGGCATTAGATTGCAACCTCAGCACATCATAGATTAATATCTAAGCATTGTTTATGCTACTATGAACTAAATCACTTATCAGAACTGCAAATGAGTTATTAATAGCAATTAGTAGTCACAGCACAGTTATTAGCATCAAGAATAATTGGAAACCATCACTGTATGATTGCTATTCATGTTAACATTCACACCAATAGATACAGTGTAACAATCACTTATTTAATTTGTTTAGCAATCAGGACAAGAGCATTCATTGTTTGATTGGTCTTTCTTCAAACAGTACAGCTCTTTTGTAACGTAGTTATTACTAAGAAGACAAATATTAGTCTGATACTACCTTTGGTACCAGTATACCACATACATGAAGTTAGTTTAGAAAAATGACCAGTAAGGGGAAGCACAAGAAAGGTGTGCAGAATTAGGCATGGTGTGGAGAAAGCAGAGAGAAATACATTTTTCTCAAGGTAAGCATGAATAGGACTGCAGCTCTGGGCAATGAAAATAATCCTGCAGCTGTTTACTGGAGAGTAAGCAGCATTCAACTGAATGGGGTTTACTTCTGAGTAGACATTCTAAACTCTCGGCCAACCACAGCTCAGTTTAAGGATGGGATCCTAAGTAAACTTGTGTAATGCTACGCTCCACTCAGCTCAGTAGGACTTACTTCTGAGTAAATACGCACATGAAAACATGTTGCAATGATTTACATGTTGTTTGTCAAGATCTAAATCTGGCCAAGGTAACTTTCAAGTGGCATAAAATAATAAAATGATAAGAAACAATATTAACTCAGTGTTAGTGGGGAGCTGCATATGGATGCCAATGCTTTTGTTCAGTGGAATCCTTGCTACTTTTCCTTTCCCAGCTGTAAAAGCCTTTGGACTAAGAACTGTCCCTTTCGCCTCCTGCATAAAAGTGGTGTACACTTGTAGCACTGGGACACCATCACATGACAAACTGCTCTCCTTCTGCATACTTTGAAGGATCGCCAATTTAAAAATAAGCATTTGCTTGAATCTCTCCTATTGGTATTCTGCAGTGCTTAACTTTGGCTGGATGGTACCCAGAAGTGACAGCAAGTTCATAGCTTTAGCAGCTAAGGGGATCTTCCCCTCCCAAACTAACATCTTAATTAAAAGGGTGGAGGATGACTGGCCTTATCTTTGTTTCACCCTTTGGCATGTTATTTTCCATTCAAACCACCACTTTGTGCAAAACGCCTGTTTAAGGCTACAGTCCCATCGAAATGAATGGGCCTTACTCTGCTCAGTTGTGGTTTTCTAACCAAGGAGTTATACGTTAAATGCGATCAACTTTAATGGGTCTACTCTAAGTAGGACAACCACTGGACGCAATCCACATTTAGGATTGTCCTTCTAAGGAGCCCAACTATGTACAGGATTACAATCACACACAGAAACGTTTTCCCACAAAATGCTTTACCATACCAACTTGGAGACTGCATCATTTCCTAGCTCCTTCTTTCCCTTTGGAGATTAAGTTTTATGTTATTTCCTTCATTCTCCCTCAGTATTTACTTTCCCGTTCTCTCCCATCTGTCTCATTTGATTTGTTTTTCTCCAGACGCAAACAGAGAGTATCAAGGCTGAATACATTCCCATCTCTATCATGAAAATATGTACCGTCTTGTTTATTATTGCTATTCTCATGTGTAATTCAAAGGGAAAGCACACGTGCTTCTTAGATCTGTAAATCCAAAGGCCTGGATAGATGGAAAATTACACAAGCAGATTATCTGGGCTGGGGGGGAAAATAAGCAAGTTGCATCTTTTTATCCTCCTTGTTATCGCTTTAAGATGCTGCTGCTATCATCATCATCATCATCATCATTTTTATCATCATTTTATTGATCATTTTATCAAGCTGCATCTCTGTAACAACTAAACCATGTCCACTGAAGCTGAAGTAGCTTGCTTCTGAAATCAGTGGTCCCCCTCCAAGAAAATCAGCTGCGCTTAAGGTTACTTTCTTGCCCAGGCTTGCTTGGTACTTTCAGACAAGACAATGTATGTTAGTTCAGAAGAAAGTCTAGTTGGTTACAGTGCAATTTACTCCCAAGTAAAAGCGCTTCGGATACGTGGTTGCAGTCAGTCTCATCTGACACAGTGGGATTTTAACTAAAAGATGAATAGCATGGCAATTGTTTTAATGCTATATTTTTATTTTATATTTGTGCCGATGGTGTACAGTGTTTTAAAATTATTATGATTCAGCTGTGCGGACTTTTCTCGTGAAAAATAAATGAACTATTTGAAAGGAAAGGAAAGGCAACGAAAGCGAGCGAGCAAGCGTCTCCTCCTGGAATTAATGGAGCACGTTCAGTCCAGAAGGTTATAAACGCGCTCAGCCCGTCTGGAAGGCGCGCGGGTCAAACGCGCCCCGGTGCCAGCCCTCACCGCGCAACCCTGGGCGCTTCGGCCGCAACGCGGCTTCTCGCGGCAGGGTCAGGCCTGGATCCAGGCCCGGAAGGGTTGCAGCGCCATCCTATGGCGCGCAAGGCCCCCGGATCCAGCGCCCGGCCGTGCAAGGGCGCGCCTGGCCCGACCCACTGAGAAAGAAGCGGGGAAAGCAGAGCAAACGAACTCCCGCTCCGACACAGAACTAACCACGCGCAAGAGCCAGCGTAGTCGTCACACTGCCCGGCCTGCCTGGACAGCCCTGTTCAGATGTGGGGCAGGCGGGGGTGGGACCCCCCGATCCACACTGCCCCTCCGCCCCCCCCCTCGCGCCGAGGTCCAATAAGTGGCTGATTGCCTGCCGCTATTCTACAAGGCCCCGCTAATTTATTCATCGCCTTTCCCACATGTTTACAGTGACAAATGACGACCGCCAGGTAGCTTCGGGAAGAAGAGGCCATGCGGAAAAGAGGACCCTCCCCCTTTGAACAGCCACCCACCCACCCACGCGAGCCTGCGCCCCGTTGGAAGGCGCACTCGCCCCGAAGGACGCGCCGCGCGGTTCCGCTTTGGAAAGCTAAGCGAGGAAGCTGAGAGACAGAGCAGAGGCGAAGACAGATATCCCGACACGTCCCCCGACGGCTTCCTGCCGCAAAGGCTGGTTTTCCCCGCGATCAGCGAGGGAGGAAAGCGGCGCTTCGCAGCGAGGCCGAAGCTCGGTTCTCGCTTGCGCCCCCTCGGCTCTGACGCCCCAGGAAAAGCGCCTTTGCGCCGAAGGGCAGGAAAGTCCTCCGGCCTCGGCGCGCCAAAGCGCAGCAGACAAACCGGGAGGCGCGATCCAGGCAGCCAAAGTTTGGCAAGCGCATCGTGGCATCCTAGCCCTCTCTACTCAGACGTAAGCCCCGCTGAGTTCAGTGGGGCTTACTCTCAGGTAAGTGAGTATATCGGTGTAGCGATTCACCTCGTGACGGGGGAATGCCCTACATTTTAAGTTTTCTGCCCTGCAGGTTTAGGTCAGTCTATGCTATTTTATGGCACGCTCCCTTACATCGTGTTCTTCTGCGAACGTTTTGTTTCGTGCTGGTCTGACGGAAGATGCCACGGCTCCCATCTGCTGGTCTTAGGAGTAAAGACCGCCCTCTTAAATACGACTTCCTCCCAGGTAAAAATGCACAGCCGTCAGAACCAATTGAAAAACAAATAAACAAAGCACGTGCTCCGTTTGTTTTGCTGTCGAACGAACCTGCTGCATAAACCTAAACATGTTTACTCCAAAGAAAATCCACCTGAGTCGGCTTGACTCCCAAGTAAGAGTGTTAGGACTGCAGTCTTGAAAGGGCTCAGGGCACTACAGTAACCTCCCTACCTTTACCTGCAAGTAAGCCCCATTGAACACAGTGGAAAAATCTTCTGAGCTGACATTCATAGCATTGCCTTGTAAATGGCAGAAGGAGAGAGAGAGAGAAGGGGTTTGAGGAGGAGAATTTTTGAAGCATCAAATTTCAGATATATTTGCTCTGGATCCCAGAATGATAAAGTTAACCACTTTGCGTGTGAGTCTCTCTCTCCCTCAAAAGAGAGAAATCTGATCCCCAGAATTATCTCTTTGGTTGTTGTCATTAAATCCCAGCATGATGAACTGCAACTAAAACACTTAAATCCATTGACATACAAGCTGTCCTCGCTATAATAAGATCGCCAAAGAAGAGCCTTGTGCTGCTTTACAGACTAACAAATTGATTATGACTTACACTTCCGAGGACAGAGAATGCAAGGCCTCTGCCACAATAACAGGCTCCTCTTTAAGGCACAGCAAGCTCTTCATTTCCCTTTTGTTTTGTTCTTTGCTGTTGTTTTTCGGTCAACCTGCTAACATCCCTCCCTCTCTCTAAACATGCAGGCTGAAGAGCAGAGCTGCCCCTCACTGATGGCCAGGCTTACATTATTATTACTATATCATCATCATCATCATCATCATCATCATCATCATCATCATCATCATCATCTTATCCCACCTTTCTTTCTCTGGAAAGGAACCCAAGGCAGTTTATAAGGTTCCCCTTCTCTCTATTTGTCTTTACAGCAACAACCCTGTGAGGGGGGCTTGGCAGAGAGTAACTGGCCCAAAGCCAACCAGTAAGGTTGGTGACTGAGTGGGAACCAGAACCCTGAACTCAGAATCCTCCAAACAACCAATATGTGGTTTCCCCCATTAATGTTGTGTGAACAGCAGTACCGCACCTGCTACCACGGGATCTGCGAACCTTCTGCGCTCTGGAGTAGCCTCGCCTTCCAAAGCGACAGTCTGAACTCTGCGCTTGCTTAGGCAACCTCCTTCACTCTCACTCTCTCCAAAGGGCTCAGTTCCAGATAAGTATACAAAGCATTGCAGCCAATAAGTCATGCCTTATGGCACTGATTTGTTTTAACCAGTGCCACAACATTGCTGCTTTTTCATGCCATTTTTAAGACTTTACACCTTCTTGCCTCATTTTAGCTCCTCACAGACCCAATCCAATTACTTGGAAACAAGTGGAACTTACTCACAAGTAAACACGTTCACAATTCAATATGAATACCTGATGCAGCTCTACGCACCAGGATTTTAAAGCATTAAGCATTAACCCACTCCCTCTTTTGCTTCGCCTCAAGCCATATATTCACAGAAAAACATTTATTCGGGCTTACTTTCCAACAACACTGAACACCATCTCTGCGAAGGATTAAAATTGTTCAGTCTCAGTAGAATATATTTTGAAACAAAGAGTGAACAAGGCTGTTCGGGAGGGGGGATAATTAGAAATTGAAATGATAAGTCTAAATATTCATTGAATTAGTGAGGTGGTCATCCAAAACTTCGGAGAGATGAAATATAAGCTCTAGGCAAGTTTATACATAGAATATTGGTATAATTAAAATTAAGAAATTAAGCAACTCGTAATCATAAAAAACTTGTGCCAGATATGCGTATAATAATTATCTACATCCGGAAATGAGTAAAGAGTGGGGACGCTTTTCCCTTGCAAAATCTGTGCAAAGTGCCCATGTCTTATGCTGGCCATATGGAGGCGCCTAGAGCCAACCTGTTCATTTCAGGATGAGGCCGATTTCGATGGCCCCAGCCCCAATTCCTTTGTCCATCCACACCTCCTCTCGGCCAATTGTCTTCCGACACTCACACCCCCCGGCTGAGCAGTGGGTGGCATTCTCCTGTCTGACCTGAGGCTCACCTTGACTTGGCTTTCCGTCATCCCCAGCGAGTAGGCGAGCCTCGCTCTCTCGGGCCCAGCTAAGTATTTCGTTTGCTCAAAAGTCTTTTCCAAAGCAAAGATCTGCTGGCCCGAAAACGTCGGCCTGGTATGTTTCCTTTTGCCGTCCTTGTCCAGCAAAATTGACCCTTGATCTAGAGAAAGGACCAGGGAAAGGGAGGGGGAGAAGAGAGAGACGGGCATATTTTAGCGGACAGAATAACAGCACACTCCTATCTATTCAGAAAGAAGCCCGGCTGAGTCCCATGGAAATTACTCATAGGAGAGTAAAAAATAAATAAAATAAATGTAGATATTAAAATTAAAAAAACATGTTTTGCTGGGGAAAGGATATTTTTGGCAACTGGAGATTATTGCAAACTCCGTTTGGTGATTGAGAATCTGGATTTTACAGAGGTTCGGATCATTCACCTAGGAATGATTACACTTCTAATCTCTTTTTGTTTTCCTTGGTTTTATTGAAGAAAGTATACAGATTGAAACGAACGAATAAAGGAACAAAGGAAAGAATATGCATTTAACTCGTTGCCAGCTTTATAAGAGTCCTGTATGTTTCATACCAAAGGAATGTTATTTTAGGTTAAAAAATCCTTAAAGGGAAAAATGAATAAAGGATCAATAAAATTACTTAGAATTATGAAAGTAGTCACAAAATAATTTTTAAGTACTATGAAACCCTATTTCACCCAAGAGAGAGAGAGAGGAAGGCCCGTTCCATCGAAAATGCATGCCTTAAAGAAAAATCAACCTTTTCTCTTTCCCTTCGTCAATGGCACAACCGTTTTTGTCTTTCTTCCTTTCTTTCTTTTTAAAGAAAGCCCCGCTAGCAGGATGGCTGTGGCCATGTCTACTCAAGAGTAAATCCAACTGCTCTCAGCTGGATCTGCTGTTTCCCAGGAGTTCCCCGTACAATAGCAGCTCGACTCGTGGCAAAATGGCCAGATAGGAACGGAGCGCACCGGTGTAAGCGAAATTCTTGCAGACTGTGTAATACAAGTACCTGGAGACTAGTGAACCTGAGTGCTCGGTTGGAGTTCATTTGCTTCGTGTTTTTTAAGGGTGGGGCGCCGGTCCAGCAGAGATCTGTGGAATCGGCTGGCCCCTCGCCTTGGGCTGGAAGGTCGGAGGGAGCGAGCGGCTGGGCCGCCAGGAGAGGAGGCGTCTTTTGCCAGGAATCCAGCAAGGAGGACGGCCAGAGGCAGAGGGCCGGCTTCTCGAAGGGGAGCACGGCGCCCCGGGAGCCGCCAGGATGCCGCGGATGAGCCGGCCCGCCCGGTGCTGCCCCCGGCGCCGGCAGAGCGAGCGAGCGAGCGAGCGACCCCCGCGAGAGCGCGCCGCCCCAGCGCCCGCCGCCCGAGCGCCCGAGGTCTCCCTGCGGCGGCCGCCTGGCCTGGGCGCGCTCCCTCGCAAGCGAAGCCGCTGCTCCCGCGGGCCGGCGCTGCAGGGGAAGGGCTGTCCGCGGCTCGCTAACCCGAAAGCGCCTGGCAGCAACCTGCGCGGAGCTCGCCGCGCGGCACCTGCCCGGAGGCCTCCCTGCCGTCCGCGCGAACGGAGGGGGGCCCTCGCCCGGGCGCGCGTCTGCGAGCCGGCCTTGGGCAGCGCCGGGGCCTTGGGCGCGGGCGACGCCACCAAGCCAGGGCTACGGGTGCCGGGGCGCAGCGCGGGCAGCGCTCCCCCTTCGGGGCCGGGAGCTCCGGCGCAGCGGGCTGGGCCAGAGGCGAGGGGCCAAGGCAGGGCGCTCACGCGGAGGCTGTTCCTTCCCCTCCCTCCCTCCCTCCGTCCAAAGCGAGGTGCAGCCTGGGAGAAGGACGGGGAGGCCGTGCGCCGGCTGAGTGGAGACGGGCAGGCTGCGGGTTCGAGGCCCGGGCGATGAGGGTGTCCTCCCCGGGGGAGGCACGTGGGAAGGGCCAGGGAAGAGGGAGGGGTGGGGTCAGGGCGCGCGGGAGCTTCCCACCCCTGCGGGAGCCGGGATAACGGGGGAGCTGCGTCGGCGGGGGGGGCACCCTGGGGATCGGGGGTGCCCCTTGGGCATCCCTGGAGGCCCCAGAATCCACGGGCCCGGCTGGGAAGGAAGAGCAGGGCCGGCAGGGCCCGGGGGGGGGGGGCGCTTCTGCGGGGCGGTTGCCGGAGCGGGCGGGTCTGGCGGGCCCCGGGCGCAGCGCGGCGCGGCGCAGCGCGGCCGGGCCGGGTACTCACGCGGCGTGCAGGCGAGGCGCGCGTCCCTCCAGGGCGGGCTCTGCATGACCCCCGGCCAGAAGATGGGCGTCCGGCCCGGCAGCTCGGCCAGCGGCTTAGGGTAGCGGCCCACGGCGGCCACGGCGGCGGCGGCGCTGGGGCTGAAGTAGAGGCCGGGCGGCGGCGGCGGCGGGCTGAGGCTGCTGAAGCGCGGCAGCCCGGCCAGCAGCCCGGCGGCCGGCGCGGCGGACGTCGAGGCCGAGGCCGAGGCGGAGGCGGCGGCCAGCGCCGGCATGGACGGCCGGCCCAGGATGTCGT